AATTTTTTTTAACTAACCATTGGACAAATGACATATATCACTATTACCATCAGAGATTCCTTCATAATTTTTGTTCATTAAATTGATTTAAGCAGTTGTCTGTCTAGTTGATTCAATTATACTACCGGTATATAAGCAGGTAGTCCATTATTTTTTAACACTGTGTTTTATAATATGTCACATTGCATGCAACTTTAAGTTGAACTTCAAGCAACATTAAATAAGAAGATTCTCATTTTTCACGTATCGCAGGTGGAAAAGTTATTGTTGTCATTTCTGTCCGCAATAAATAGTTAAAAGTATGTAGAAATGTAAGCATCGTTGTTTAAGAATCGCTCAGATAACAAAGTACACCATACATTCAACAACCACTTGCACAAAAATCTCTGGACGTTATCATCTGCTTATTTTAATGTTTAGCGGAGTACAAAAGTTAAAATTTCCCAAAAATTGAACTAGTAAGTGTTTTTCATCCAATTTCAATTGCTGCTATTTGCACTAACCTAAACTTGAAGTCACAGTTACCAATGCACTCTTCACAAATTCACAAAAAGATTCAAAAATAAGGAATCATTACAATTTACAAGACAGATTTATAAAAAATAAACTATTACTGACTACATTTTTATTTTGTGAAATATCTTCAGATATGTCTGCCATTTATCTTTATGAATATTTCTGAGAAGTTATAGAGAGCATTTACTCCATCAAAAACTAGGATGCAGAATGTAAATGGATTGCAGCAAGCAGGAAGACACTGATACTCCTTCCAAAGAATGTATATGTGTGTGTGTATCTATATATGTATCTAAGAGAACATAATAAAAACGCTCTGATATTCAAGTTAAATCATCCTTGAAGATATTCTTAACTCCAACAATTTCCCCTAATATTTAAATTTTAATGTTTCGTTTTTAATAATTGAATCTAGCTACATGTGATAATGATGTTTTGCATTTTGTATTTCTATTCTTTAATGGGCATATGTGCACAGTGATATGTTCACTTGTTGCAATCTGAATATTACATAGGTTAGTCACACTGTATTTCCACCATAATGTGTCTTGTAAGCTCAAAGTGACAAATTTAGGGGCCAGTGTTACGATTTAGGCAATAAGCCATGGACTACAACACCTATAGGGTAATAGTGTCCTGGTTGCTATATTTCTGATTCAGCTCCTTGCTAAAATCAGTGGAAGATGGACCAAGTGTCTGGGACCTTCTACCTGTATCAGAAATTTCTGGATGAAACTCTGGGCTCCAAAGCAGTCTCAGTGGTCATCTGGGAAGCTTAAACCAGAGACTCAATCCCTCTCTCTCCTTCTCTCCCTTTTTCTTCCTTTTTATCCCTATCTTTGTTGCTCTGACTTTTCAAATGTGTAAATATCTTTTTCAAATCCAAATTCATCAGGCATAGTTCAGCTCACACTACAGCAGCTGCTGTTGCTGGAATTCACAATTTTACAAACATAAAATCCACATTAGAAGATTTGAAATTAAATTTCATTTCTTTTAATTCTCATGATAGTGAAGGGCCTGGTGACATTGCTTCAAATATGACCTGATTATATACTTTGTTCAGTTCTTTCTCTATTAATACCAGTCCTATTGCTCTCTGTACTTATATCCTTTTATCTATATATTTTAGCTATTTTTAATCTGTTATTAATATATTCCCTCTTTACATATTCCAGATAGCACTTTTTCTAAATATAAAGAAATACACTACACTCAACAATACTATATCCCCTTCTTAATGTAAAATAGTTAGTAATTAATCATCATATCTGCATTTAATCTATGGCTATGTAGTCAATGAACCGATTCAATAAGGATGCTATTAAAGCTGATATTTTAAGTTGTTATAATAAAACTATAATGCCATGAAGGAGAATGATGGTTTGTTAGATTTGTCAGCATTCTGAGCAAAACACACTATGAAACCTGCAGTCTATACTTTAAAACGTATGGAGGTAATATTATCTATTTCATATTTGTGTTTGGTGTCTGCACCTACAGATCAGCCTTGAATCTGCCCTTCCTAGAGTTTCCAGGATAAAGAAACCCCTATCTGAGTCTCCTGTGTCCACCTGCAGAAGGAACAAAGTGGTGTAAAGTATCATGCAATATTTCTTGAAGTTTTATTTCAGCCATAATACATACCATGATTGCTTCTATTGTGATGGCCAGAACAAGTCTCCTGATCAACTGAATAAAAATACATTATGTCCATGTGGAGTACTGTATTTCACATGACAATGGGAAGGGGGTAGTTTTATTTGCTTTGTTTTTAAGATTAGTTATTTATTTTCATTTAGAATTATCAACACAGGGGAAAAAAAAAGAGAGAATAAAAGGAGAGAGAGAGAAAATCACTCATGTTCTATCTATTGGTTCATTCCCCAAAAGGTAGAAGGGCCAAGTTGATCAGGTCAAAGCTAGGATCCAGCAGCTTTATTCAAGTCTCTCACATGGGTGGCGGTGGCCCAAATGCAGAACATCTTTACTGCATTCCCAAGTACTTTATCAAGGAGATGCATTAGAACTGGAACAGCCACGAACAAACTGTTGCCCATACAGAGTAAGAGTGGCACAAGTGATGGCTTAATGTGGTATACTATGATACCTTCCCCAGGAATAGATACTTTTGAAAAAAACAATATATGCCATTAAGAAATGCAGTAAAAACATGAAAAGGAATTAATAAATTTTAAAACTAGATAACAATTATTGTCATTGGTAACTCAGAGGACCCTAGGGAGTGCATGTTAGAAGAGTATGAAGGCGAATTGAAGAAGACACCAATGAGAAAATCACCAAGCTTGATAATTAGGGGCAATTAGAATGTCATAATACAACTGTCAAACTTTGTAACTAAAAATACTGTGAAAAAAGTACTTTTACGGTATTGTTATTTTTTGTACTCTACAGCCTTTCACTGAAACATCTTCAAGAGGTTTTCAAAGAGAGGCATAAAAGAAGAAAACTATCAGAGAAACTCGATTTAAAAGGAGCTAGTAAGCAGGGCAAGAGTCAATAAATCTAGAGAAGAATAAGTTCCTTTTCATCTTTTTAAATTTTTTCTGGCTAAAGTCAAGGTGAAATGATTGAGAAAAACACAGCTGGCAGGTGGCATTGGTCAATCCATTCCCGCAGCACGGCCCACCCGCATCATTCAGAAAAGGAAAAAACTGACGGTTGATTTTCAGAATATTGCTATTCTGTAGAAAAGAGGTCAGTAAAATTTTAAAGTCTGAAAATTCTGACTGTAAAAGAAAAATATGACTAATTGGCATTGTTCAAACAAAGAATACTAGGTTAGAATCCGTGGTTGAAAATGTTCAAAGTGGGAGGAGGGCTATTTTCCTTTGAGGAAAGTCAGTCTGACAAAACAGGATGATATCTCCCTGGCACAGAGAAATGCACCCAAGTACCCTCTTCTTCATGAACAGCAAAAGATGTAAGAGTGCAAGTACAGAGCTAAACGTGCCAATAGGAATGCAGACCTGTGGACTTGAAGTTCAAATATTATCAGGAGGACGCACACTTGCATGTGAATGACCTTGCCATCAACATTAATGTAATCATAAGTACACAAAGATATGGAATTACAGTGCAAAAATATTTTAGAAAGCTACAAAGGTACTAAAATATAATAAAGTACAAATCACAATATAAGATAAATAGTAAAAGTAATATCTTGAGCTTATTGGATGACATTTGGTTTTTGAAAACAGATTTGACTCACTGTGTTACTGTATATATAAACACATACATGTTTCTTTCTGCATGTATATCTGTATAAAATGGTACTACGAAGGGTTCATGGAAATGAAATATAAAGTTTAATCTGTTTTGTGCAAGCAGCTTTTCCAAGCTTAACATAGCATTTTCACGATATGCATTTTGCTACTAAATTTCTGAATTACCCAAACATACCCAAACACATACATATATTTAATACTAAATGATACCAAATATTTGCATAATTTATTACTTAGAGCTTCTAAAATATGTGTGTATTAATTTATATTTTAATTTCAATATTTAGGGGGAATACTGACAAAAATAATTTCCTATACAGAATTATACTTAAATAAGTCACTGTAATTCTTTTGAAAATCAAATACAGTGCATAGATCATTAAGTTAAAAATTATAATAAATATCCATTGTATGGTTGTTTTGTTTATTCTACATAATACATGTATAAACATAGATATAGATACAGATACAGATATGATATAATACATATAACAACATAAAATAGAGATAAAATAATGCCATATTTAAATTTGGCTTTCTTGCACCAAAATCTTCCTCCTGTATTAATGGATTCAAATCATCTACTGATATCCTTCATAAACACTGGACTCTCCACCTGTCTTAGGTGTCATCTTAACGCCCTTTTTCCCTATCTCTAAAGTGTAGGCCTCCAGGCAGGATAACTAGGGATGGGGTCAACCGCAAGAAGCTTTGTATGTCATGAGAATTGTTTTGACTTTTTTTGGAAGCTAATGGGAAGCAATATTAGAATTGAAAAGCTTGATTGCTTAATCAGGATAAAAGTGAAACTTTGAGATTAATTAAATAGATATTATAGCAATTAAAGAAAAGTTTATAAGACACTGATATTAGATGTTAGTAATAGTGAAAGATGAATGCAGAGTGTATTGGAGTTCCATTACTTCACTATTTTTTATATATTTAAAACTATCCTGAAACAAAAAGATAATAAGTAAAAAAAAAAATGCAAACTTGGCAAAAAAGCAATTTGCACACAGAAATGTGGTGAGGAAGATAGGGTGAAGCAAATCACAGTTGCTGCCCTTGAGACTGAAATGCAATGTAACAGACGCCATAGAAGAGGAAAGTTGATTTATCCAGGAATAGGACAGATTCATTAGGAAAGACCTGAGCATTGAGTTTAAATGTTTCATTTTTAATAAACCCATGGCAAAAATGAAACCATAAAATACATCAAAATGAATCACTGCTTACCATTTACAATAACGATGATATCACGGAAGTCAATTTCTCCCCTAGCCTCCACTCTTCCTTCACACCTGTATATGCCTTCATCACTTTTATTGATGTTGAGAATCTGCAGATTATTGTTTGCTAACACAGCGAACCGATCTGGGAAACAAGCAGATGGGAGGAAATGTTATCAGCAATCAGAGGCTGAGGCCAGTTGCTCTAAATTGCTGAGTTAAAATCTAGCACTTGTCTCACACTATCAAACTTTTCATCAACAAGAAAATTCAAATTTGAAAGTAAAATGTAATTTCATGACTTCAGTTTTGCCACTCAACAATGCCTTGTTACACCTTTTTTCTAAAACACATTCACAATTTTATGTCCACATACAGTGGTTATATTATTATTTCCCCTTTGGTATTTTGAGGCCGGAAATGATGCTCAAAAGAACAATGCACAAAGAATTAATACTGCAGACATGGAAACTTTTCATTGAGAATGTATAGCAACTTAAGTAGGGCAAAGCATTAGAAAATATATTGAACATCCCGGTTTACACAATAATTAATCTTCTAATTTTGTTTAATGGGAGCAATCAAAAATGAAGTAAAATACCATTCAAGTTACATAATTAAATATTATATCCTGGACATACTTAACATGTTTATTTTTAAAGAGGGGAAGGGAAAATAAATGCAATACAATATGTTTTAGGTACTGATTAGACTTGATTAATTTTATATCAAGATACCATTTTGAATATATGCACTTTGGGAAACATGCATGTATATTAGAATAAACTGAGGGTAAGGTGATCTGCTATATTGATCTGAAATCTTAACATTAGCTCTGCCTGATTTTATTTTCCAGGTCTGACTTAGTTCATATTCTTCACATTTTTTTGGCAGTGCTAAACCATTATTCTTCTGAACAAACAGATGATGCCATGCCTTTTCCTATTTTGAAGCATGTTTTGCAGGCAATATCTTAGATTGCACTGATGAATTCATCTACAGATATCGTTGAATTCCATGCGGTATTTGAGATATTGTGTAGATCTTTATTGCATTTGGGCCTTTTGGGGCAAGAGTGATATTATTTTTCAAATTCCCCACCCTCAGGATAAAGTAAATTTTCCAAAGAATTTGAATATTAATATGGGATATTTTTTTTGTTAGAAATAAGGAATCATCAGACTACTGATAGTCATTAACACAGGTAACCAGGGAATTACTTATTGAAGAGAGCAAATACAAATATAAGGATTAAGACAGAATATAAAACTACAGCCACAGCATTCTCAGCTCAAGTGGCATAGATTCCATAACGTTTATTTTTCTGAAACAAGTATGTTTACAAAGAATATTTCCCCTGGTAAATCAAAGACAAACATATAGTTTTGCCATTAAAGAAAAAGCAAACTTTAAAAGGGAGGTACACAATTTGTAAAATAAAAAAATCAGAAACACTCTAAAATATTCTATTTGATTTTGTGATTGAAATTAAAATAAGAAGCATCATGGGTTTTTTTGAAATCTCAAACTTAGAAGAGATGCTCCTACTAGTATCTAGATAATTGTAATATTTTGTTTTCCACACTTTCTTTCCCACACTTAATTTGAAATTTAAAAAAGGCTTATTAATTTAACCAAGAAAGATTTGATAAGAATGAATTAGAAAAATATGGAGGAAATGGTAGGGAGGGAGCAGGGAGGATGGAAAGGAGCAGGAGACTCCATACAAAACTGTTTCATGGAAAATAACTGCAACAATAAAAAAGAAAAGCATATCAAAGTTTTAATACATATAAATCTGTTTCATTTAACTGGAAAATTATAGATTCAAATGGCCATTGAATCCTTTATTTCTACTAATAGAAAAAAGCTATAATAATTTTAGAAAATTAACTTCTAAATTTGAATATATGCTATTAAATATGTTGTTTACTTATGCAACTTTCCAATGTGAAAACATTCTAACCAAAAAAGGTATATAAAACTTCTAATATGTTTGTAAGGTCTAAGAACTATTTTTCCTAATATAAAGCACATTACTTATATGTTTCCAAAAATCTTTTGAAGACAGCAAACCTCAATCAATCATGGGTAACTATGATATGAGAAAAATTTAATGAGTATATGTTATGCTTAACCAATGATATACATATACACACATTCTGATGTAATTATCAATAGGTAAGAAAAAAATTAGGAAGAAAAATCAGACCATTCCAAATATTTGTTTATGCTCCCTTAAAGATATCATTTTTACACATTTTCTTCTGCTATTCATTCAATGGAATTTCTCATTCATGCTTATGGCTTCACTTACTGTCTACATCTTGATTTCTCAGTTTTCATCAGACAAAACATTATTATGAATGTAACAACTATTCCTGTGATGATCTGGTTAATATGCCATAAAAATCTCAATCTCAGCTATCTAAATTTTAGCTCAATATTTCGACCTGAAATTCCTTGTCTGGTTTTCTCAAGTTAACTCCTCATACATCATTTCAATGGCTTTATATGGAACTGGCTACACAAGGCAATTTCCTAACTAATGAAAATCTCTGTACAAGAAACATTCCAGAGGTCACAGTTAAAAAGTCTGTCTCTCTCAGTGTGTTTATTCATGTCCTTATCATTTCTCCCTTGGTCATTAGTCTGAATTTCTTCTCCCTTACAGTTACTCCATTGAGTTATAAACTGTTCCTAATGTCTTCGGGTTTCCACAATCATTCCCTCAACTGATTCACTAATATCCTTCTCTAACACATTTTAGGCCATGACACTGCCTTGATTAAATCCCTATCATTGATGTTCCCTTTGGATTAATCAAACACATTACAAGTAATGTCAGTGCTTCATTTTCCTGTGCAGTTTCCCTTGTTAGTTATCAATTTAAGAATTCTAATTATATATAACTTTTGTATAAGTACGTGCATTGTATGTACTTATACTTTCTTGAAACTCATTCCAGTTTCTTGAATTAAGTGTCTACACTGTATACATGGCATTCCTTTTACAGAAAAGTCTCATTCCAGTTTCTTGAATTCAGTGTCTACACTGTATACATGGCATTCCTTTTACAGAAAAGTCTCCCTTTTCCTTTGCCCAGGTGATCTCTGTCCTTCCTTAAAAGTTATTGCCCCTTTCAGGCATATTTGACACCATCTATTACCCTGCATCCTTTACGTGCCCCTTCTTTACCATCATCAATTAGATTACTCTTTTTTTGTTTGTTTTGATATAAAAACTCATGCTTATATAAAGCATTTTTTTTTATTTTGACTTTTGTGGCACAATTATACAGGGTCTGGGAATCCCACCGCCAACAAAATGTCCTCCTCCTTACTGAATTTCCCCATATTACTACAATATTATAGTTCTTCATAGGAGTCATGATTCCATCAGTCTGTTATTTAATTGTGACAGTGTCACACAGTCCATCATCCCATTGTCTAGATCTATCCAACAGTTTCATTGGGAGTCCATCTTAAATTGGGAAATAGGGATGCATATTGCATTTTATCTTCATATCTGGATATGGTAGTCTCTACTATGCCTTCACTATACATTCCCTTAAATGAGAAGCCATAAAACAAATTCAACAATGGGTTTGATATTAAAACAACCACAATAACAACAACAACAAAAATTGCAGCACCATGGAGTCAATAATGCATACCACTGAATAACCAACGCAAGGGTAATGGAAAAAAAGCACTCAAGGAAGCTGATTTTGAATGTTTTATGTTTTATGTTTTATCTTTCCCTAAGTCATCAGTATTTTGGAGGCAATTAGCACATTTCCCTTGTTAATTATAAAACAACTTCTTGTACACAAGGGGTTGTATACTTGATATATATTGAATGAGCCAGTTACTATAAGCATATTATACAGAACTTTTTTGAATAAAATAGTTGCATCCATAGTTTTAATGAAGACATAGAACTTAAAATGTATATAAAGTATTTACAGTCTGTGAAACACAATTCTCAAACTGGCTATCATTGAACATATTTCTGGAAATGACATTTCCATCATGTGATATAAATCAAGATAAAAATGTTATTTTTGGGACTAGCACAATAGCCTAGTGACTTAAGTCCCTGTTTTTCAGACACTGGGATCTCCCCATATGGGCACCAACTCGTGTCCTGGAAGCCCCGCTTCCCTTCAAGCTCCCTGTTTTTGTGACCTGGGAAAGCAGTCAAGGATGGCCCAAAGTCTTGGTACCCTGCACCCAAGTAAGAGACCTGGAAGAGGTTCTGGGTTCCTGACTTTGGTTCAGCGAAGCTCCAGCCATTGTGGCTGCTTGGGGAGTGAAACAGTGGGTGGAAGATCTTCCTCTCTGTCTCTCCTCATTTCTATATATCTGACATGCCAATAAAAATATTTAAAAAAAAAAAAGGATCTGGCTTTATGCCGAAAAATTTAAAAAGGTGTTCAAAGATTCAAGGTCCTGAGAAACAGGAGACATAATGGATTTCTCTATTTACATCCATCCATCTATCCACCCATCCATCCATTCATCCTACTACATTAGAAAAAATGTGAGCTGTACCAACGAGCTGAACTACACCAACATGATACTGAGATTGAGTCGTCAATCTTTACTTTGAGGCTTTTTGTGCTGGAGATCATTTTAAATATGCATCTTATGTCAAAATGTTCATATATTTAAGCTTCACTAAGACCAAATTGTACTTGTAAATCTTAAAATGAGATAATCTGAAAGTGTAAGACATCATTGCCCAATTGGTATGAAAAGTCTGCCTTTCTCTTAGTATTAAGTTGGGTACACAGAAAACATATCACTCTGGGTAATCTTGTGATTAGTGATACAATTTAAGGTACTTAAACTAAAAAACAAGAGGAAATTGTGAATTGACAAATTAACTTATTATAATGGAAATGAAGTTTTAGTCAACAACTAAAAAGCACTGGATATGCCCAACTCTGAAAAATTCTTGTAAAATTTCAAAAATGAAAATAACAATAATTATGATACATTCTCTCTATACATTCATAAACACACTCTTCTTTCTCCCCTTCATTCATAGAAGTTTCATCTCCCAGAAACACAAAATGTGATCATTCAGAATGGAAAGTACTTTAAAAAGATTCAATTATTTTGTGCTTCTCTGTAATTCAGGTGCATTGAAACTATTCTAAGATAAAAATGCTCTGTTAAGCACAATGGTATAGGGACATAATATAAGCAACTTAAGCTTTTAATTTGAGATGACACATTGTTCTGAAATTTTAGCTCAATCTAAAGCAAAATCATAAAGACAGTTTGAATGAATGTATTTTCTGTATTTTGCCACAACATTTAGAACATATGGAAGTCTCTCATAGACAATCTCAAAATAATAAACAGGATTCCTAGGTTCACAAAATAAGTATCTAGTGCCACAAAAGTATATCATGTTAGAGCCTGCAGAGGGCATTTGGCACCATAGCAGAGGAAAGAGGGCAGAACAAATTAGACAACTACCCCAGCAAAGCATGGACAGCAAATATCTGGGTGCATGGAGACTCGAAGGTGGACTATATAAACCAATGGACCTTGGAAGGATTTCCTCATCATTGGATAAGAGAGATCAGCAGTATTTCAGAGTGGAACCATTGGAGCAGCATGGACCCTGGGATGACACAGAGTGGCTGTTCTCCATCCACAGATATTAGGGTGGTTGGGAAGCTGGGTGTAGCTTCTCCCTTTATCTTCCCCCTTGCCCAGATACAGGAAGAAGAAAGAGAAAATTTGGAAACAGTGGTCTCACCCACTTCTCCCAATCTTCAATCCTTCCCTTCCTAATCAACCACAAAAACATTGCCATTATATACATATATGTGTGTGTATGTATATATACATACCATGTTGAATTCCTATGCATCGGTACTTGCTCTTTCATTTACTGAATGCTATTTGTAGTATACTAATCGTTCTGCGAGAGTACACAAAGGGTAAGCATCTGCAGCTCTCCATTACTCAAAACTCATAAACTTTATAGACTCAACTATCTATGTCACCACTGCTCAATTCTACTTGCAAAGCAGCCATAGAAAAGCTGTAAGTATTGGTTATGGCTGTATTCTTACAACATACTATGAAAAAGCATAGGGGCTGGTTTAACCTGAAGTCCATCTGTAAACCCTGGTTTACAGTTTTAGCTACCTGAAAATAGCTGCTTGACATTTAGAGAAAAAAAAAATACAATTTCCATAATCTCCCATATAAATATTTTTGATTGCAATATTTTTAGAACATATAACTTATGGAGTTACCAAAATACTAACTGTCAGAAGTAGTGGTGACTTCCTTGTTATGATACAACCAGCTGACAGCAGGTGCAGGTGAACTGCTAACACGACAAACCACTTCTGCATCTTCACCTTGTTTGAATTCCTGGGGAGACACCACTTCTCTGAAAGTGAGCTTTTCTGTATTAAGAAATAAGATAAACCATAAAATTACTACTTATCATAACATACACTAGAATTAATGTACATTGATCATATAGAAAATAATTAGTTCAACATAGATAATCTGAAACCTTTTGCCGTATAATTCTTCTCCCCAACATTTCCGATTTTGCTGAAATGCAAGTCCATATTCTTAGAACATCATGGTAGATCCTTTATAAACTGGAATCTATCTCCACCCAAATCATCCAAATCTCTCCTCTATTCTAGCAAATGCATTCGCTTTCTTCCTGCGAATTTACACCCTGGGTAGTAGTCTTGATGGCTCAAGAAGCTGGGTCTCTGTCACTAATGTGCGAGGCCTTGGCTGAGCTCACAGTTTTGACTTTGGTCCTAGATGAATGCTGACTATTGTGGTTATTTTGAGAGAGAACCAAGCATTGCAAGTTCTCTCTCACACTCTCTCCTTTTCTCCTTCCCTTCCTCCATCTCTTCTTCTCACATACATGCCTACATAAATTATGAGTATATACATATATATGGCTATATTTTTAAAGAAATTAAAATCTAAGTTTATTTGGGCTCAAAATAATTTTAGATTCTATGTATAGGCTTTTGACTATACTTCCTATGAATGTGAATTATTTTACATAAAAATAAACCTTAGTTCTGTTTTGAACAAAATGAATATCATTTTATACAAAGAAATCATCTTCCATTTTCAATGTCTTTATATTTAGATGTCAATTTATATCATTTTTTATTAGTAAACATTGATGAGGATAGTAACAAATTGTTCAAAAATATTTTGGGGGACCTGCTTGTTAGCCTAGTGGCTAAAATCCATGCCTTGCATGTGCTGGAATTCCATATGGACGTGAATTCTAAACCTGGCAGCCCCACTTCCCATCAAGCTCCCTGCTTGTGGCCTGGGGAAAGCAGTAGACTAGTAGTGGAAGGCCCAAAGCTTGTACCTGGATGGAAGACCTGGAACAGGCTCCGGGCTCCTGGCTTCAAACTGATGCAGCTCTGGGCCATTCGGGGAGTTGTGGCCACATGGGGAGTGAATCAACGGATGGAAGATGTACCTCTCTCTCTCTCCTCTGTTCTGTACATCTGACTTTCCAATAAAATTTTTAAAAAATGTGTGTGTGTGTGTTATTGCCAGTGCCTTAAAATGTGAAATGTCTGGAATATTAACTGGCATAATGTTTAATCTTTATGTGTAATTTGTGAAGTGTTAGCTAATGAAATGCAATTGCTTGTAACTTAGAGTAAGGAACAGTATCAATTGGTTTATGGAACTTATTTGTGAATTAGGACTGGCTGGAGAGGTGTATGAGACAACACTCAATGCCACCACTGCCACCCTCAGTAGTCTGTGAGAATGAGAACTGAGAGAAGCTAAAGAAAAGACAGCGTCCCAGTGGATATAAAATGGAACTCAGCTGAAGAGACAAATTGTTGTCAACCAGCTGGTTGAGGAAGGGCACTCTGTCTCAAACGCTCTGAGCCCAAGCCAGAGAGAGCCTAGTAGAGCTCTAAGCCCACCACTCTCTTCTGCTCTGCTTCTCTCTTACTCCCTCCATAAAGTAAGTTAAAGTGATAGCCTCAAGTTGTGCCCTCCATCCTGAGGCCAAGACACTCAGGAGAACTTCAGCTAGTGGGATCAGTGACTCAATACTGAAGATAAATGTGTATGTGAAATAGTGAGTTGTTACAAAGTAAAATTTGAATTAATGCATAAACATTAAGCATTGAAAGGCAGATCATGCAAATCTCTTAATCTTGCTTGAAGGTAAAAGAGCCACTCTTGACATAAACATATTATTTTTTCAATTTCTTTGTAATTAATGCACAATTTCAATCAACTATGCAACTTTAAAAAATATGACTTACGGTAAATTTCCAAAACTACTGTTGCTTCCTGTGTTTGTCCTTTGGCATCTGTTGCTTGACAGCGATATATTCCTGCATCTTCTATATTTGCATTGTAGATAGTTAATCTTGACCTAACGCCTTCCTTCTGCACCACCACCCTCTGTGTTGAAATTATCTTCTCTCCTTGAGGATTATACCAATCTATACTCTCTGGTTCACCAATTGCTGCAGAGTCACGGGAAAACAAATGTTTCAAAATATGTTCTAAGTATTGCTTTGGCACTACCTCTTACCAATATGAAACCATTATGACAATTTAATAAACAATAAATGAAAGACAAGAAATCTAAAAATCTTACAGAATTAAAAGTAAACACAAATGTTTGCACAAATATTCATCTTTGCTGATGCCACACAAAGGACTCGATCTCCAACAAGTATAAAAAATCCAGAAGCTCTTACAAGAACTTAAGCTTCTAAAATGGAATTGTCCATTGAGCTAGATTATGAACAACACTTGTTAGATAACATTATGTCACATGCTCAATCAATCTCCATCAGGAAAATATGGTATCACTTTTTCTCCCAAAGTAAGCAGAACTTACAACATTGCAAATAACAAAATATGATTTACTCTTTGATAATATGGGCTTCTAGATCAAGTTTCCAAGTTGCTATACTTGCATACATTAAGCTAATGACCATTTTTAAAATGGAGTTCAAATCTTCCCTTTCTTTCAGCAACATGGGTAGTTTCATCATTTCAATATGAAACTCTTAACTATTTAATCACCTGATAATTAAAATGCATTTAATTGGTACTTATATAGTTAAGGAATTATAAATAAATCATTATAGAGTATACAGTTATTTCAGCTTTCCAATTCAGAATCTAGCTTATTATCTTCTTCCTTCAGCTTCTAAGCTGAAGCTTGTTATGTTTTCACCAGAAGATGTATTTTACCTAATTGCTTCAGAGATAATTTGTGGAAGCAACATACATTATTAACTCAAAAGCACTGAGTAAGATACATGAAGTTAACCAACATCTGCAGGGCCACATTGAAGAAAATGATTCCTTCTTATTTTTTGCTATGATATGAATTTCAAAACAAATTATACTGCTTTACATGACAAATTAGGCATGCTTGAGTAAAAGCATGAAAAAGAAGGTTTAGGCGAAGTCATACGTCAGGACGATTAGTTTCAATCACTTTTAATTATTATGTCATGAACAGAAACAATTTAAAACAAAAATTGGAATGAGAAAATATGTTTTAAATCTTAACTCTTAACAGTTATATTCACAATATGAATATAATTAATCTAAAGTGCTATAGAATGTACCTAGTGGTCAGCTTTATAAACATTGAATTTGAATCTAAAGTCTAAGTGTCTTCTGAATGAGTTCTGTGTTTCTGCTTGAAAAGGCCCATATGCAAATATTGATTTCATAATATATCCTAAATGAACAACCACAAAAAACTTATAAAAGTTTTCTTGATTAAATAGTATTTCTAAGTGAATATTCATCTTTCAAACGTAAGAACTCTGTCCTAAGGTTTTCATTCAGGTGTAATACTGCAGTGTACCATATCTAAGACAATTATCATGTTCTTATAAAGTAGTTATAATATTTGCAATCATCTAATATTACTATTAAGAAGGAATAATATTTAAACATTTAAGTTATAATGTATAGATTTTCTTTCATAATGTTATATTCAAATAAAATACACCATTGGCTGCTAAAATTAAGAAAGCAACACTTAAAATACACAATCCATAATATGATATCCAAAATTGACACTTTTCTAATTATTGGAAACCTAAGCATAAGGGTTCTTTGTCAGATAATTTTTTTAACTATTTTTATTTTGTCAATAGTAAAAACTGAAAGGATTCTGAAAATATTTGTGAAAATACATACCTGTGCAGGTGAAGAATTTAGATTCACCCACGCTAAGCTCTACTTTGCTAAGTGAAATTGTCACTTGAAGAAGAGCTGAAAAAAATTGAGAAACAATTAATTGGTTTTTGCATATGAAGATCTAATATTTTATTAAATAATATGTAAGATGCAATCCAAACATCAAGCAACTCTCAGATTTTAAAAGCAAATATCCAGCAAATACATGTTTATATGACTATGCATTTCACAACTAAATGAAATCAAACACTTATTCACAATTTAAAACATTAAAATTTTGTAAATCAAGCAAATTTCATTACCAGGGAACTCATAATTCATACTCACAATGCTTTACATATAATACTAAGTTGGGCAACATGTAAGTAAAAATTTTACCCCAAAGTTGAACTTTGTTGGAATGAGTAAAGCTACACAGTCATCCAGTAATTAACAATAATCCAGTAATAAAGATTATATAAAAATTACATTTTGGCTGCTAACTATGTCATTTGCACATGCAGTGGAGGAAACATTGCTGTATAAAACTTGAATTCACACTGATTTTCACAAGATATTAAATTATGTTATATTAAAGAGCAGTAATAAATGACAGGAGAGACATGCTATTTCAAAAGGTTAGATTTAAAAGAAAATAGCTGCATATTCTACAATTTTTCTATCATTAACAGTTTATTGTAAAAATTGACAGATGCATTTCTATTATAGTGGAAAAAATAGTACACCGATTCTAGAAAATGTGCCATTATCCCTTGCTTTCAAGACCAAATAATTGACCTTTTAATAAAATGCTGGAATTGTAAGTAATACTTAAAAATAATATTAAATCAAGGTAAAAATTTGTACTGAGAATGTGATGGTAACAGTAATCCAAAGCTTATTTAGATGAGCACAGATTCCTGTATCATAAAATGCCACAGAACACCAGTTAATATTGGACCAGGAGAATACCCTAACAGAACACAAAGGAAAATTAAATCATTCATTTGACAGACAAATGAACTGATTCTATTAGATTAGTTCAGATACATTTAATTTTGGCTACATGTTTTTTTTTTTTAAGATTTATTTTATTTTTATTGGAAAGTCAGATATACAGAGAGGAGAGACAGAGAGGAAGATCTTCGCGGTTGCAACTGCTGGAGCTGAGCCAATCCAAAGCCAGGAGCCTCTTCTGGGTCTCCCACAGGGGTGCAGGGTCCCAAAGCTTTGGGCCATCCTGGACTGCTTTCCCGGGCCACAGGCAGGGAGCTGGACGGGAAGCGGGGCTGCAGGGATTAGAACCGGCGCCCATATGGGATCCCGGGCGTGCAAGGTGAGGACCTTAACCACTGCGCCATCGCGCAGGGCGCTACATGTTTATTTTCTTTGGTGAATCCCAGGTGGAGAATTTCAGCTCTGGTGTTTACACACACACACACACACACACACACACACACACACACCCTTACAAGGACCTCATCAACAGTTAAAATTGCCCCAAAGTTTTATATGCAAGGTTTTGTTTAAATTCACATTCTGATATTAAATGCATGACAAAACAATGCTATGTGAACAGGTAATGCAAGCAATAGCAAGTATGAAATAGGAGAAAATGAACCATGAAGCATAAAAAAAATAGTAAAACCCACATTTTAAATTAAGAATATGAATTATACATAGAAGCTTGGTGGAAGTTGAGATGTTATTTGTGATGCCCAACTTCTGAACTGATTTTCCTGGTTTGAGTCATGACTTAATTCCCAATTTAGGCTCAACTTCCAGCTTACCTTGTCTTTAACTTGGCTGAATTCTGGTTGGCATGCGCATTTGGAGAGTGAGCTAGCATATGGAAGATCTCTTTTTTGTCTTACAGCTCTCTCTCTCTCTCTCTGCCTCTCTTTGTGTGTGCAAGTTTTTCTTTACTCCCTTCCTCTCTTTTGTTGCCTTTTCAATAATATAAATAAGTAAAAACAACTTTTAAATATATGTCATGATTAACTAACTTGAAAATATTAAAAGAAATGAAACCTGGGATATAAATCTGATAAAGGTGCACACCATAGCTTTCAGCATAGGATTATCAAATGTGTTACTATAGCTCTCAAAAAATATATGTCTTTTCTTCCCAAGCATCACTAAATAAATTCTTTTTTCAGATATCTTTTTGGAAAACCCAGGCTAGGCTACATATTTTTTCTTCTGTTTCTTACTATATCTTATTTTATGCCAAATTTCTTAACACAGAGAAAAGGCATAGCACTTAACAACAACACAAGTATAAAAGCAAAGTATTTTAAAGAAAAAACAGTAAACAAAAGTCCAAGAAAAAAAATAAGACCATTAGCAGAACCAAGGCAGAGCGCCTCGAAAGCATACGGGATATAAATTTTTGTGAAAATTCAAAGAAGGTTTTTTCTTTAAAGGAGAATCTAACACGCTTGGAAAATTCAATGCAAATGAGGTGAGGTTAACAGAGCAAATCATTGAATTGAGAATTTCTTTTCTATAAGAAGACTTAGATATGGTTACTGGGAACTGCAATTTGAAGCCTAGTGATAGGAATTTCCTACATTGGAAATAAACTGAAGCATGCCTCCAAAGAAGAGAAACATTAAAATTGAGAGAAAATGAAAAATTACCATCCTGCTCCTGATTGTCTACTTCTATTTTCTCTTCTAAGACCCTTTATTTCACATAGTTCACTCACATTTCTGTTTGACTCTTCAATCTATACTTCCTTGAAACTAAATCCTGCTCTATCCAACCCTCAGTTAAATTGCCAGATTGCATAAATTTCAACCTTACTATATGCAAACTGAATTTCATTTGAACCAAAATTTGCTCATACATTCATTTTATGACTGCCAATCAACTGTGAATTTCTTCCACAGTAACTTCAGAAATAACACTTCTATATATTGTGCTTACATTTTTAAAACATTTATTAATCTTAAACTGGGTTATTCACCTGCATACATCTGCTTTTTTTCTTATTTTTATCTCTTTATTGTCTCTTCAGAGTATTTTCAGACAGGGCAGATATTTAAGATATATGCTGAAGTGACAATATCCCATGTTTGAATACCTGAGTTTAAAACTCTGTTCCAACATCTATTAACTCCATTCTACTGCTAATGTTAACCCTGAGAGACAGTGGTGATAATGTAATTGGGTGTCTGTAAGACCTGAATTCAATTCTTGATTGTCACTACATTCCCAACCCCGTGTTGTGCGTTGTGATTCTGTGGAGGACTGAACCATAAGAAGAGGAATTTTTTATATATCTCTTTCAAATGCAAAAATAAATATTTCTGTTAGGAGCCACGGACTTATGGACCTTAGACTTGGCCTACGTGACAGCCTGTCGCATTGCAAAGCCTGCCTTGGGCAAGCAGGGCCACAGCAAGCAGGATATTAGGCCAGAACATCCTGTGTAGAGCAAGTGGAACAGAACCTCCACCCTTGTTTCTGTTCAGATGATTTGTTCCTCCCTGTTTCAATATAGATTATTAGTTCCTTCCCCATTTCAATGAAGATAATTACTTCCAGGAAACCCCTCCCCGTCCCCTCCTCCCCTAGAGAAGAAGTTATATACATATATATATATATATACATAGAGAGAGAGAGAGAGAGAGTAAATAAAGAACATGAGGCACTCTTTTTCACCAAGTACGTGTGTCCGTGTGTTTCTTGGGCCAGCAGTCTGGAGGCTAGCAGACCAGCATTCCCAGTCCACCCTCAGGGTTTGAGCGTCATGTCCTGCAGGTTGGGACATATTTCCCCACCTGCTTAATGGATGCTTACAATTCCATTCCCCCATTTAAAAATCTTCTAAATCAATATTTGTCACCAAATAAATCAGTTGTATACAAGTATATTAAAAATGTACATTTCCAAGTTTATTTTCAATTACTCTTCTGCAACAGTGATACAGCATAGACAACGAGAGTTAACTGCACCCTGTCCTGCCCTCCATTGAGTCTTAATGTACAGAGTGTGCATTTGATTGTTTCTCGGCCTTTTGGCTAAGATCACGTGCAGAGTATGCATTTGCTCCTAATGTTTTCTTTTTCTTTTTACATTATTTTTTACATATTGTTTACATAACAAAGGAGGGTGCACACCCATGTGGGTTTCCAATTAGGGTGATCAGGGTCAAACAATGTAACAATTTGGGTGGGACAAAGGTTTCATTTTTTGTTTTTCTCCTTGGTGTGGTAAGAGGAGGGAATTACTCCTTTCTGTCAAACGACATCAGCACCCAACGATAGGGGACAGTTTATTGATGGTACCTCAGAGACCCAAATGAATGGATAGCATGCTGAGATGTACATGGGGGACATGCTAGTCAGCTCATCTCTGCCAGCAGAGGATGTGCAGTGCCTCCTCAGAGGATGAACTTGGCCTCACATTCCTTGGCCTGTGGATGCTTAAAGGTATACTTGGGTCAGCCAACAGACCTTGGAAAAATTTGCTCAATACAGATGTACAAAGCCAGCAATGTCTAAATGGGATTTTGTGTGTGTGTGTGTGTGTGTGTGTGTGTGTGTGTGTGTGTGTGTGTGTTGGCCATGGGGCTGGGGCAAAACTAGCTCTATGGCAGCTGTGGGAGGTGCCCCAGCCAGGGTGGACTCAATGCTGGGGACCCAGGCCAAAGTCACTCCCAGCAGGCAGTGACCTAGTCCTAGGCTTTCTCTAGGCCCGAGAGATCTCTTCCCTCAGGGTAAGTATACCACGAGGAAAACGTGGGAACTGGATTAAGGCCCTGGCTCTGCCCTGCCACTAACATCTTGCGGCAGGAAGGGTTTGGGCAGTGTTTTACCGTTGTGCTGGAACAAAAGCAGCTCCCTGCAGTGTGGCAGCTCTAGGGGCTGCCCCAGCCAGCCCAGACTCAATGCTGAGGACTCAGGCCAAAGTTACTGCCAAAAGGCAATGACTGAGTCCTAGGCTTTTGCAGCTAGGCTCTACCTACTGCCCCCCTGGTGGTGAGCTCTGGGGTGTTTAGGATATGTAATTGCTGCATAGGGACATCCATGGATAAGACCAGTGTGAGTGTAGGTGAGGAATGAATTCTGGGTGATTCCCAGCAACAG